CATAGTTCTTGGTTGGTACAGGAGCTTCACTCAGTATCATGCGAGAGCGTAAAGGTTCCCTAAGGCGCTGCAGACCACCGATAAAACCAAGATTGCGATTTTCGGGCGAAAAGCAGTAAAGTCTGATCACGGGTTTAGACGTTAGCTTCCATGGGTTTTCACTGTCGCTAACCTGAAGGTGGCAGTCCTCCGCACAGACCTCATAGGAAGATGCGGTTCATTGGTGGATACTCGAAAGAGACGTTTAACAGTGAAAAAGAGCCCCTAGTATACGGACGGAGAAGCGAGCAAGCACCATTCTTTGAATCCAGCCCAATCTCCGCCAGTGTCAGTCGTAAGGTTCCGGAAAATCCTGGCGGAATCTCCAACTCTGACCAAAACCAATCTTAAAACCTTTACGGCTGGAATGCAAATCACTCGAACTATAGGGACATATAGTTCCATAGTTTTCGCGGAAGCTGAATTTGAAAACATGCTTCGGTCCTCGAATACTTAATGAGCGTTGCCGTTACACGTGGTGTCTAGGAGAAATCAGGTTGACTGTCGCTCTCGTGGTGACTACAGAGCCACAAACAGGCGAACCGTCCCAGCCAAGTGCCAAGTTACCTACACCCAAGACTACTAATAGTCTTCAAGGTGCCCGAATATTTACTAAAATAGACTCACACAATTATTCCCCTTTATGAATTTGAATAAAACAAGGAAAAACGTTTGTGCAGAACAAAACTGTGCCATCATTTATTTCGTTGGCTTCTCATCATCTGCTTAGAGCCCAAAGACGTTATTAAGTTTATTTACAGAAAAAACTTTAACACACACAAGTTCATTTTAAATAAAAAAATCAATATATGCATACCATGGTAATAGTCATGCTAATAATAATCCGAACCAATAAAACCACCGAGATCATTTGTCGATATTCTGGTCTTTTCCCACTCCCAGAGTTAGAATTCAAGCGCCAACTGCCAATGTGTACCATGGATGTAGAATTCCAGTTTGACAGTACTGTTTACTGCCAGTAGTCGGTGTAGCTATGAACAGTCCGCTTAGACCTATTCACGTCCAGCCTTGGAAGAACAAAGTCTAACCACGCGATCGATGAAGCGAATTTTTCCTGCTGAGAAGTAGATGACAAACTAGTAGTGTTCAACAACAAAAGCCATGCTTCCTACTTTCCCAGATTATTCAACGAGGTACATCTGAATTTTGAATTTACTATGGAACTTGAAAATAGTGTAAAATTCCATTTCCTTGACAGAAAGGCGGCATGGAATGGGCAGTACTAGCATTTTGTTGTCCCAATAGCTATAAACGAGCACATGTGGAAACTCTGTTCTATAGAGTCAGGAGAATATGATCTACTGATTACTTAGAAGAACTTCTGATTCTCAAAGAGATGTTGGGAAACGGCGGTCACCCTCAGATGTTCATCACAAGGTTCGGAAGATGCGAGAGGTGTGATGCCAAACAAATAACAGTGGGAAAGGAGCCCATCTTCATTGAACCTGATTTTAAAGGTGATAATATTGCAGGAATAATGAATACAAGATTGAATATGCCACTAACCAAAGACTTTCCTGCAGCTAAGTTGGTTCTCGTCTATCGGACAACATGCTCTTTGGTGCAATCAAAAACCGAAAGATACCCTTCTCATGTTAACTACAACTATGTATACATATTTACATGTATGTGTGTGAGCGGTTACATTAGGAGAACAGAAAGAAGTGCATGCCTCTGACTTTCTGAATATGAACCAGAAATCCGAAATCTCCAGGGAACGAATGATTTACACGGTGCCATTTCTAAGTATCCCCTTGGTGTAGGTCATGAGATGGACATCACAAAATCCTTTAAAGTTATCAATAGACGAAATTGTTCAATTCTGCTCAAGTTTGCTGAAGCGATCTCTATCTGACGACTAAACCCAAGTTTATATGTTCGGAAAGAAGCAGTTGTTGGTCTTTCATTTCCATGGTAACTGGATATTTCCATGCTGTCTTTCATGTGATTACACGGCGCCAAAAAATCCAGTGTGTATGGTTATTACTGTTTGGAACAAAGTGATTATTCTCACCATTGTTTGCATATATTGACTTTTCGCTTAAAAATGAACTATCTGTGTACATTAAAATTTTTTTCTGCGCATAAACTTGATGTCTTTGCGCTGTAAGCAGCTGATGAGAGGGCAACGAAATAAATGATGGTACCATTTTGTTCTTGTTTGGTGTGTCTCATTAGCATATTTATCACTTCTGCCCTGTGACAGCAGCAGAAAGCGTGGTCGTTGTTAATCCGGGCGCCGACCAATCCGGCATGATATTTTGTGAGTTCGTTTGAACAATAGTATTGGATTGGGTAGCTGCTTTTTGTCTAACTGCTATCCAAACAACCTTTCTGGCATGGTAGTACCTACAGGAACATAAGTTCCAGCCAGTGTAGCTCGTTGGGTCTTTGCGATATGCAAGCCCAACCACCGTTTCAAGGTAGCAGCTATCGGTTCTGCACAAACTGTTTGTTCTTGCTTCATTCAAAATAGACTTAGTTTGCGCTTATCACAGTGTCAGGTGGCTGAGGAAGATATACCTAAGATAACCATTACAACCCCTTTCGGATGATATGAGTTGGTGAGTTTGGCATTCGGTTCTCAGAATGTGGCACAAACCTTCCAGAGATATAGAATTTACGGACAACTTGCTTTGTTAACTGCCATTCGCCAAAGTTTACGTGGACAACCTAAACTTAAGCAATGCGCATATAAACACTCATGAAGACCACATTTGGGTGGCATTACGCAAACCACAATATAACGACATGACAGTCGATCAGAATAAGTGTGTTTCTGGGATAGAAACGATATAATTCCTGGGAAATGTCACTACCAGCACTGGGGCCGCATTGGTGTCCAAGGTGGTGGATACCATCAGGCGTTCATCCTTTCCTGCCCCTCTGTCACAGCCCCGGAGTTTCCTGGGCTGTATCAACCTCTATCGATGATTCATTTCAAAGCACACAGCAGCTAACTGATGCATTAAGCGGGGAGTCAAAGGGCTTCCAGCTGTCAGAAGAAGGAAAGGCTGCAACTGCACGACTACAGACATCTGGCGAAGGCTTTGACCTTAAAATATCCTGATGCAGATGGACCTCATGCACTGTGGAAGCAACCATATATCATCTAGTTGACAATGCCTGGAAACTAATAGCAGTTTTGCTCAAACGCCTTAGTCCTGCGCTGACAAGATACTCCACCTTTGGTAGGAAGTTTTTAGGAATCAACTAAGCAGCCTAAAACTTTCGACACACGTTGGAGGCCGGACTATTTGCAATCTACACACATCACAAGCCCCCCACTTGTGCACTCAATGCGAAAATGAACAGATACTCAACATGCAAAATTCGTCGCCTTGATTTTATATCACAGTTTGCCAGTGATCTAAGACAAGTGAGGGGGGTGCGGAGAACTGTGTGGCTGATGCGGTGTCCAGAATTCACGCGAATATAGTGCAATAAACCACTGTAGGCTTCAGAGCAATGGCCGGAAATGAAGAAGACAACTAAGGGTGAAATCGTATCCTCAGTGCATATAACTCCAGCCTCATGCTTTAACGACTACCATCTCCTGTAAAGGGGAAATTTATACACTGTAACACAACAAAAGATTCACTGAGGCCTTTCACCCCTAAAAGTATGATAATTCTATATTCGGTGATTTTCACTCGCTACCCTAGAGGAAAAGCTTCATGTAAAATAATCCCCATAATATATTCGGTCACACCTACAACACGATGAGCAGAAGTGTGCGACAGTGTGTGTATTGTGCTAGGGAAAGGAAGTTAACAGACAACTTCAGTTGCATTCTCGCAGACATACCCACCTCACCCATGTTCAAGTCGACATGGTGAGTCCATCACCGCATTGCAATGGATCCACCTACCTGCTGACATGCATTCATAAGTTCACCAGGATCCTCGTAACCAAACAGCTTCCTGACATTGGTTGAGAAACCCTAACAAAGACGTTTCTTCAACACTGGGAAGCTAGGTTTGGTATGCATATAACAACAACCGATAAACGAACTCAAGTCAGAGCTTTTCAGCAACTTTTCGAATTTTCTTGGATCACATGGATTTAGCAGCATAGCATATCACCGTTAAGCCAATAGTTTCCACCGACAAGTGAGGGCCCCGTTAACATTTCACTTGGCTCCCACTAACTGAACTTGTAATGTCTGATATGCGAACACTAATTAAAATCGATGGCTGGCGGCGGAAACGATATTCGGGGGCGCCCTGGGACTGCTTGTTGAGTTTATCGGTCCTGGTGCTGATAACGACGAAGTTGACTAAGCCACACATTTTGATCGACTTCGACAACAAATGATTAATTTAAGGATGATTTCATCAAGAGGACAAGGGAAAACAGGGCATACTCTGTGGAGACAGGTACCGTCTACAAGTTATCGGTAATAGGAAGGTAATGTTCATATCGTTTGGTCATCTATGCATCTTCAGTATAGCAGACACAAGAGCTAAATGCAATGACTCGTTCGTGAAATTTTCAACTCATTCTTCTTACAGTTCAAAGGTCTGGTGTCGAGAACTTTATCTGGAAAGAGCTTTGTGTAGCCTGGTGGCAGATAATGGGTTCTGTAACTTGTCGTTTTGATGCAAACTCTAGAATTCTACCTCATGTATCTCTCTGATCAAATGTATGATAAATGAAAACCTTCACAACGATTGAATAGGAAAATGTGAAATGGTGCCTTTTATTAAAAAGTAAAGTGCATATGTGATTGTGTGCGTCGGTGGGACAGTGGTTAGGACTCTCGCCGACCATGCACATGGTCCGGGGTTCGATCCCCTGCCGGCGCACACCCGATATCTATGGTCGGCCTGAAATTTGGGCTGCCGATATCCATGCTGAAAATTCCATACTTGTACTGAAAATAAGGTGTGGAATCAAGCAGTAATCAAAATAAATAAATAAAAATTAAAAAAATAAAAATGCAAATGCATAGAGAAATAAGAATGGGGTTATTCTGGCTGTTCGTAAGTGAATATGTTCCTGACACTGAACTAAAAAGTGGGATATATAACACGACTAACGTCTATAAACATGTTATTTTGGTGAATATATGTGGCTGTATGTGAATCCATAGAACCAGTAGCCCGCAGCTACATCAGCACTGGTCGGTAGGCGCTACCCATCGCAGTTCTGGCAGACTGATTAAGTTGAATGGGGCCTTTCAAGAAAGCTCGCCTGCGTCATGGCATCGCGTTATTCTCGTTGTTACATCGCAATTTACCCTTATTCAACCAGTCGTCGCATTTTCCACCCTAAAATCTAAATCATATTTTGGAGTATTTTTCAGATATTATTGTTTTGTATTTCTAAAGAGGTGGGAATTATTTACCACTACAGTGTGTAATAAAACGGATATATGGTCCTCACGAACTGCGCTGTGACAATGGCATTTAACTAAGTTGGGCATATCAACTATTTTAATTCATTTTCTTGCACCAGAGGGTTACTTATGTATCGCTCTTACGTTTGACTCCTAACACAGGTGTTTTCTTTTTTTTCGCTCCTTTCCGAAACCATTATCATCATTATTATCATCCAATTCTTTTTAAAATCGGATGAATAACCACATGAAAGAGTAAATTTTGTCATATCAGCAGTACGTTCGCCATGCAGAATGCGAAACTATCCCTCGAGTTTCATCATTTTAGCAATTTCTTCGAAGCTACGAAATCTACGGCGAGCAAGAGGCAGGCAAAACGGAAACTGTTTCCTCAGTAGCAGTAAGAACAAGGAAGGGTGTCAGTTCTGTTGGGATATTTGGTTTGAGACAATTGACGTCTCCCACGGAAGAAGCATAAGTGTCTTCTGCTGATGTCTTGAAACTGAGATTGTACAATTTTAAAAGTAGCGGAGTGCCACGAGGCACGGTACTCAGACCTCTCCCATTATTCTGTAGCTCAGTGAGTTATCTCTGCTCACCGACTTCCCTATGGTCCTATACGCAGATGACTTAAAAATTTGAAGAGAGCTGAAGGGCAATAGTGATACATCCACTTAGCGAGAGGACCTCAACAAATTGTCAGAGTGGTCCATAGAATGGATGCTCCCGATAAATGTGGCAAAATGTGCGACCATGCGCACTGGACAAGCAAATAATAGATGGCGTAATGTCCCCTCTCGCAAGAAGCGAGATTAGGACAACACATCGGCCACACTGCCCACGAGGGACAGAAAGACATTTACGCCGGAGTCCAAGAAAGCGACAGCATTAAACCTGGTCTCTCTGACAGGTCGCTCATTCTCCAGAAGGTGGAAGAATCTTTTGCCTCCGATCCCAAGGTCATGTTCGAGCATGACCTTAACTTGGTCAAGCCCCTTTTAGATAAGCTACTACCAAACACAGAATCAGGCATAACAATACACAGCGTATGTAGAATCGGCCAAAAGCCTTACCCCACAGTAAATCAGCCTGTACGCCTCCTCAAAGTCGCACTAATATCCAAAGAAATACTGAATGGATCAGGCATATATATCTGCGCCGAACTATGCCCAGCTGACCGTGTCAAAAGACAGTTTATACGAAATAAATCTATCATTATTTCTATCTTTTCTCGTTTATTCGCCTATGGTCATATGCGGATTTGACTTAAAATCTGGAAAGAGCTGATGGGAAATAGTGTTACGCTCACGTTGCAAAATGATTCGAACAATTTGTCAGAGTGGTTTAGATAATGGATGCTCCCGATCAGTGTGGGAATATGTGCAACCATGCGCATCGGATAAGCAAGCATCAGCTTCTACCACCTAGAGGGAATAACACTCCCGTCAGTTCAGACTCATTTGGATTTAGGTTTCATAGTTAGCCACGATCTAAATATAACAGAACACTGTCACGCGGTGGCTGCACGTAGTTTCAGGTCCTTATGGGCAATTCGCAGAGCCTTTACTAGAATCACCAGAGATGTATTCACCCCCTTATATACATCTCTGGTGAGGTGAGGACTAGAAAACTGTGTCCAGGTAGCTAGTCCTTGTCTTAAAGGGGCCCTACACATTCTAGAAAGGGTTCAAAGGAAGGCAACACGTATGGTTCTCGGCATGACTAACTTATCATACGAAGAAAGACTAGACAGTTTAAATCTCTTCTCGCTGTCATACCGTAGGCAGAGAGGAGATCTAACCACAGTGTTTAGAATTTTAAATAATGACTACGGACCTGACTTATTCTCTCTTTTCCTTCCCACCAGGTCGGAACACCTTAGAGGACATAGCAGGAGAGTTCAAAAGCCAAGAAATCATATTGCTGTTGAGTACTGGTTCCCACACCGAGTCATAAACTCTTGGTGCATACAACCTCAACTGATTCATTCAAGAAGGGTTTGGACAACCACAGAAATCTAATAGAGGAGGATTAACATAGCCTTCTACCCTCATCCAGTAAATCTGAATCTGAAATCTGAACCGCTTCTCAGGAGGGACTTTTGAAATTGTGAGTTACAATGTGTAGATAGTACTTTTTAGCCTTATGATTAACACCTTGTTTGGATTGGAATTTTAAAATCTGCAAGTGTTTCTTAATAAAGGTGTACAAGTGTGTGTTACTCCACAGCTGCATGAATTTTATTGCGCTTGAAATTTTCTGTTAAAGTGGAATAAGTTGAGAGTGTACGTCACTTGTTAAGAGGAACTTCGGTACTCTTGTTGGAGTATTTCAGAGATTTCCCAATTAACATTGCGAAAGACGGTAAAATTTTGGAATAATAAAAGTGGTTGATTCTATTACCTCACTTTGTGATGAAGTTAAACTATAGCAACTTCCCCAATCAACCGTAGATACGGCATATATTATCCACCTTAAGCAAATCATCAGAATGGAGAAGTAACAAGGTCACATAGTTGCAAATTATGTGACCATCGTGGTGAAACCTTAGTCCAAGCAAGGTACAACCTATGACTAGTCACCCACCTGTGGGGCAGAGTACAACCAGCTACTGCTCAGCACCATCACAGGGATACAGGTCTTGGGCTATGTCCAAATCACCAAAGCTGAAGATTTCAGTGCCATATCCCTGAACTTTAGCTCGGCGTATGTCCAGGGAATACTCGGTCGGAATCTACTACAACTGCTGCATCTACTACTACTACTACAAACCATTAGAAATACAGGACGACAGCAGTTGGAACCCTAAAGGATGGTCATCAAAACTAGATTATATTCTAACCAGTGACCAACTACTTCTCGAAAATGTCCGAATCATGAGCACACTAGGCAGTCGTGACCTCTGTCATAAGATTCGATGTTGTCCTCTGTGAGCACTTGCAGTGAGACGCTACGCGACCATGTCTGTGCTATAACAAGGAGGACTATGCCGGAATGTGGAAGCTTTTTTCCGACGCAGAATAGCCCATAGAATGAGCTGAGTTATCTGTGGATGAACTCTGGGAAGTGGTTAGAGATTATCCACACAGCAATCTGAGATATCGTCCCATTGGTCACAACAGAGCCGAAGAAAAGGTCATCATGGCTGAAGAGAAGTACGCAACGTATTCTGCAGGCAAAGAAGAAGGCTTGGTCTACGTGGCGAATATCCAAGAGTCAGATCGATCACGATGCATACCTGGAACTCGGGAGCCGGTGGAACACGGGTCAGGAGTGACGGGAGGTCATTTCAGACTAACCTTGCCAAGAAAACTCCTGGCAAACCCCAAAAGCCTAGACCACACCTTGAAGTGCACAGTATCATTGCCCGCCCACTGCTTAAAAGAGACAGATTTTTTGGAAAGAGTCCAAAGACGGGCGAGAAAAGGAGTGATGGGTCTCCGAAACAAACCGCATGGTGAACGGCTATAGAAATGAACTATCTTCACACTTAGCTACCGTTGGCTTAGGGGGGACTTGATTACTGCCCATAAAATAAAGACTCGAGTGTGCTCCCACTTCTTTTCACTGCGGGTTTGTCGTTCCTGGAACTTCTAACTGGCAGATGTATCTACGGTATTGTCTATGGATAGCTTTAAACGAAGGCTGGACAATCATGCAGCGACACAAGGACTGCGTCCAGACGGCCTATCCCCTTAAAATCCCATACGCCATTAATGGGTAGACATACAGGCTCATCGTTTTACTTCATCACATTCTCTCTTGTCTTACTGTCCTAACTACTCCAACCACTACACTTACACTGATTATTATTAGTATTATATATATATATATATATATATATATATATATATATGGCTGGATTCAACACAGAACTTGGCACCGAAGTGCAGCAGTTCGAGTTGCCACGTTCCAAATAGCACACAAAAGTAGACAAGAAAATGAGAGAAGAGAATCAATAGAGTATTGACAAGTATAAGAGTGAAACAATGAGTAATGGTAGAAAGGAATATGAAAGATTACAGAGACTGAATACATCTGCGCCATTGACAACGATTTTGAGCCATGTCACCTAGTGTCTCCAGCCATCGATTCTTAGAGTCCCGAGGGCGGGCCCCAACCCGGAAGTCTGCATCTTCCTACCTGACTCAGTTTAACTGTCAAGGATTTCATGGATTGATGAGGCCATGTTTTTGTTTGGCCACCACTTACTCTTTTCCAACCTGCACCTATATCAGCTAGTAATGCCCATCGGGGGAGACGATGGCTAGGCATGCGCAGCACGTGACCTAGCCATCTCAATCTATGTAACTTCATAGCCTCTTCGAGTGATTTTCCCTCTTTGCCCAACACTCTATGCCTAACGTCAACATTACTTACCTTATATACTTATATATACATATATATATATATATATATATATACATATCAACTGAGTTCTCTAAACAGGCTACGGTTCTGAAATATCAGTTAATTGGTGCTGTAAGATTGCTTGTAGTGTTGGACGTTTGTGATTGTGTTGACAATGTGATTTAGAAATTCTTTCATGTAGTTGTTCTCTTTTACTACAGTCTGTCCATGGCTTCTACTCCTGGCAGTGCTATACAGTCTGTATGTGTTCCTGATAACGTGACTGGGAGTAATGTCGTCCATTGGAGAATACATCGGCGACAACTTGTCAATCCGTCGGTTTCTGTTTGCGAGCTTCTTGGTGATATGTCCAGTAAGATAGACATTAAAGCCCCGGGTTATGGATGGGTAACAAAGATAAAAGATGAAGGTGCCAAAGTTACCGCTGGGTACGACATTCTATCTATTTTCTATATCTTAGTTGTGTTCTCTTTAACTTCCTTCCATGCACACATCATGTTGTAATGAAGGATTTGTGTGCTGAATGTGGAGCCAATTTGCGCAGGTGAGTAAAATTTCTGCTTTTAAAGTGTTTTTAGGGAAGGAGGGACTTCAGGTGAGAGGATTACTGATGCAAGTGCTAGCATACCTATGGTACACACGATACCGGAACTTCATGTCAGCGAAACAGTGAGTAATCCAGGAGTTATTTTGTTTTGTTTAGATCTTTTTACTTACTAAAGACTCAAATACAATGAGTATTTTGATTATAAATGCATATATGTGTACTTGTGCGTGCAAGTAAATGCTTTTGCATAGTTCTAGCTGTCATTAAATTATTGGTAGGCTTTCTCTGCGATTATATGCTTTGATTGTTGTTTGTTAGTCTATACTCATTGAAGAGATGATCATATTGTAATCTGCACTAAAAGGTCTGGAATGTTTTGCCAACCTGGGCTACAAAATGTATTGTTTTGTTGACTGTTGCAATTAGCATTGACTGTTATTTTAGTTTCCAATTAATATGTTACTTATCATATTCTCTTTTGGTTATCTCTTGACTTACTGAGTTTTCAACATAGTGTAACACACCGACTAGCGGTTACACAAGAAAGAAAAGTAAGACACAGAGAGTGTGTATTTAGTATAATTCCAAGAATTAGAATGCGTGGGCCAAGTCCTTGTAATGTCTTTTTGTCCACATTATCAAGTCTTAGCAGCTGTTGTTGCTCTTGCGCCGGAGAATTGACTCCCTGGTATTTTCCTGAACGAAAAGAAAAAGGACATTGTTTAGTAATTTTTATTCTGTTAAATCATCTCCTTTCCTGTCAAGACACTGTCCTCAGCGCCTGGTTGTGATATTGGGTAGGCGTTCCTCTCTTCAGCTGGTACCTCGTAGTGACTCCATAGGTGAGCAATATTGAGGTCAGGCGTCGAGTGCTAGGTAAGGCGGGGAAATCAATCGACGAGGCTGTGAAACTACATCGACTGAGATGGTTAGGACATGTGCTACGTATGCCTAGTCATCGCCTTCCTCGACGGGCAATGTTAGCTGATATAGGGCCAGGTTGGAAAAGAGCTAGCGGTGGTCAAACGAAAACATGGCACCAGTCAATGAAATCCACAACAGTTAGTCTAAGCCACGTAGGGAGATGTAGACTTCCTGGTTGGGGTCCTCGGGACGGTAAAAACCAATGGTTGGAAACAATTGGTGACATGGCTCAAAATCGTTCTCAGTGGCGCAGATGCATCCACTCCTTGTGACTTATGATTTCCAATTAAACTGTTTTGTTCTCCGTTATTACTATTCCTTTGTCTCACACCTCTGTTTACTGTTTCCATTATGCATTTCTTCTACTTCCTTCTCTTGCTTTGCGTGCTACATAGATTGTGGCGACTTGAACTGCCGCACATCAGTGCAAAGTTCTATGTCGAAAACCGACCGACCGACCTCGTAGTAACCGGTGGCAATTGGCAGTTGACTCTTCTTTTGGGATTTCTGGATGGTGTGGTTTCAGTTGGTCGCTGCAATTTCGGCAAGAAGTACATAGTTGGTGATCGGCGTTTTGCGATTTTTTAGGGACCCTGTCATGGGGCATAGAACTTAGATCACAAGCAGGCAGGGACCGACGGTCAACGAAGCCTAACGTGGTTACCGATCTAATAGGTCGGTCCGCTCGTAAGACGATAAAAGCTTTCCTGGTGTTCGCTAAAGGAATGTCCGAGGCTGCGCGCCAGATGGCAGGCAATTTCTAGACGGTTGCCGAGATTTGACGTAAGGGATACAGCCAATTCTTCCGTACAGTAGTATCGACGACTGGATTTTAAATGGGGGGTAGGTGGTCTCCATTTGGTACAAATGCATCTTATCTTGACGGATGAATCCCGTAGTTCTCTACCCCATGGTTCATAATTCTCATGAAGTTGGCGTAAGGGAATAGGCTGTATGCCAACGTCAACAACTTGGAGTGATGCCCAGCCAACATCTTTTCCTGTATCAAATACAGCACTCACTGTGGAAAAAAAGTTAGCAGTCAAGGGGATGCATCTACGTTAGTATGTTGAGGTCCTGGTGGATAATTACAGGTGAAATCAAACTCTTGCAAGCTTTCCTGCCAACGGGCTACCTGGCCTTCGGGTTTGCAAAGTGCTTGGAGCCACTACAATGCACGATGGACACTGTGCACTCGAAAGGGGCGCCCGAGAAGATAATACTGGAAATGTTAAAGAAAATGGACAATAGCAAGCATTTCCATTCTAGTAGTGGAATAGTGTGTTTCACACTTGTCAAGCTTACGGCTGGCATATGCAGTAACACGCTCCTTACCATCACTTGTCACTTGAGAGTTGACGGTCCATATGGCATTGAAACTTGCAATGGCGTCTAAAACAAAAAAGCCACTAAATGGTGATGACGTCAGGTTTTTCTTTAACCCGTCAAATGCTTGTTGACGGTCACTAGTCTATGAAAATTTACTTCTTTTTTCTGTTAGTCGACGAAGAGGCCATGTAAGGGTGGCAAAGCCAGGGACGAACCGTTGATAACTCTATGAAACTTAAAACTTCATCACAAAATTGCGGTATAACCCATTCTAAAATGAAACGAATTTTTTTTTTTGAATATGTCCGGATATCATCAGTAGCCCAACAAAGTTATTTCTCTTTGAAGAAAAGTGCATTCAGAAAGTTCCAACTTTAGTCTATTTGTTCTTAACTACTTAAAGACAACTCTTACGTTATCAGTGTGATCTTCTGGAGAACTTCCCACAAACAGTTATTTCGTCAAGATAAATTAAACACTCATGTGGAATCAAAGTATCCATAATTACTTGCATCAACCGCTGAAATGTGAGTGGCATTATACAATCCGAAGGGCATAGTTCGGAATTCATAGAGTCCCGTTGGGAATATAAATGCGGTTTTTGGACAATATTTCGGATTCACTTCTACCTGCCAGTACCCGGATGCAAGATCGAGAGTAGAGAACCATCGGGAATCGGTAAGCTCATCTAGGGTTATGTCGATACGAGGGGTAGAAAAGAATTGCGTTTCGTGATAGCGTTCAGTTTTTGATGGTCAAATCGCATTTGGATTACTAAGATGTTGGGTGATGCGCATGGAGAGGATGAAGATACAGTGATCTTGTTCAACATAGGTTGTATCAAACTACTTAACTGGACTGATAATTTTAAGGGCACTTCATGTGAGTGATTGACGTACGGGAGGATGGCTACCATTATCAATATGGTATTGTACAATATCAGTGCCTCCTGGGTTATTCCTTTTATCAATACATCGGAAAACTCCACTAAGTTCATTATTTGATCACAAATACTATCAGGGGCGAATAGATTGACAAAAACTGGATTTAGGATAGAGGGTAATATTAAATCTGTTTTAGGACATGTTGGTTGATGAGTGCGATATAAGGGTATAGATGGTAGCCTGTGGATGGGTGACGTATATAAGAGTGGGGTGTGACGTGATAAGGTCCACATTAAGGATCAGACCTCATGTGGTCTGTGCACAGATAAGGAACCGATGGGCTACATTAAGATCTCCAAGATTAATCTATAGGTTCTTAGGAGTTCTAGATTCTGTCTTGGCATTGTTAGCTACCGTCAAGACAGCTTGGGTGGGTGCTCATAATGGGTTTTGGGGTAAACACTAGAGGAAGGAAGTCCCTACAAGGAATACGGATGCACCAGTATCCAAGAATATTTTAGAAGACACTCCCTTTATGTGTCCTATACCATTAATGGCTCGTTGTTGGGTGTATACACAGACATTACAAAAAGGGAACTTACTCTGTCGAAGCCGGTGGTTGTGTCCACAGTAGCGTGCCCTGGTACCAAACCTTCAGTAGTAACAGTTTGACGGACTGGTGTTTCTACGTTTTTGTGTCTGATGTGCGAGAGTCAAGTGGCGTGGTTGACTGACAGAGGTGGTAGTACTGGAACTGTACAGATGGGGGTCTTGTGGGTCAGAGGTATTATGTCTTGCATCTATAAAACGAATCTTCTGTTCGAAGTCTGCAGTGCTGGTCTGGGGTAGTCGAATGAGGTTACAGTAGAACGTCTCTCAAAATTGCAGCAATTCAAAGTGACTCGAAGACCCCAGCTAGGCAATCTACACTTCCCTACATGGCTCAAACCAACAGTCAAAAATTTCATGGAACGATTACATGTTTTGGGTTTTTCACCGCTAACTCCTTTTCAAACCAATCGTATATCAGCTAACATTGGTAGACGAGGAAGACTATGACAGTGTATAACACGTGTCTTAGCTATTTCATTTGATGCAGCCTCACGACCACATCGACTGACTTTCTCTCCTTACTTAACACTACATCTAACTTTAGTATTACTCACCATATTGTGGTGCAAACGTAGGTTGTGAGCTTATGCAGTCAACTTTCAACTAGTGGGTCCCAGATCTACATCCCACTGCACCTTCATCCTGGAGAAATAGGTAATATCATAAGCCGTCACAGTAAGTGTATCTCATTCCTTGGAACATGAACGACCTGTCTAGGGAAATGAGTTTAAACAACTGAATTTCCATTTTGATATTTTAGGATTATTACTTACAAAACTTCTCTGGCGTATTCTTTAAACAAGTCAGCAGTATTATAACATCTGACTTGAAGAAAAACTGAAAATACTTAACACTGTATTTTAAGTACTCTTTTGGAATAAAGCAGATTATTATTATTACTAAGATTCTTCAGATATCATTGTCGAGAAGCCTAAAATTGAGACATAACAGGTATCCCATAGTTTGTTCTGTAGTTTATGACGAAATCGATATTTAAGTCAGTTGAATCTTTGGAAAGCCGTGATCTTAAATGGTTTGAGTAGTAGACGTTTATTAGAACTCAGCTATTCAGGACAAATATTTCATGTGATGGGCTATGCGTGACATACATTTTGTAAGAATGAGGGTTTAAAATATTACCAAGTTTCCCAGAATGAAGTAGGTGGAACCGGAAGTGAGCTTACTTACTTTACTTTGCTTCGGCTATCTCCTACGGGAGGATGAGCCGGCTTCATGAACATCTCGAATCATCGCTGCCCATGGTGAGAGTCGTTTGCAAGAGAGTTCATGAAGTTTCATGGGAATTTGGTACGAGTGATGTCCCCAGAATCGCTCGGCCTTTTGTTTGAGAGTGCAGCTCTAGCCTTTACACAGCCAAGTGTGACCTACAAGGCAGTAGGAGTGGAGTAGGGAGTCCACTATCCATTGGCAGCCGGTGACCGGAGTTCGGTTCATACGCCTTTTTGAATGGGGCCAGACATCCAGGACATCCAACAAGCCCTTTGTCCATACGTCTGCCGGTGAGCTCCAGTGAGCTTCATACGCCAGTCGTTGGAGGTTTGGAATCAGGGTTTAGCCATCTCCCCTAGACTGTCATCCAATGAACAGTCAACCCGGTGAAGAGCGCCGGGCATCCGCTTTCGCCCTCTCACTTTGGTGAAAAACACCTCCGCCACGTGAAGGCAGTGAGTAGGACTTCCTCAGGAGAGGCTATGTAAGTGAGCGAGTGGTGGTTCGCACCTGGTATGCACTAACTGAAATCTGCGTGCCTAGATGAATAAGCGCCACATCCCCACTGTATACGTAGACTGAGACAGGCAAACCATTTCAGTCGTCTGTACGTTGATTTTTTCATATATTCTCCGGGATGTTTCTGTCTAATATCCATACAATTTTTTTTTATTGAACAGGTTGCAGATGAAATAGCTTTACAAGACCAGCAAAGTTTATTAGCTGCTCGAAAACTTGTCTTGCTCGTCGATTTAGATCAGACCATAATTCACACAACAAACGATCCGCAGGCCTTCCAATATGGGGTAATAAACTTATTTAACAGTGTTATGTTGTAAATAGTTAATATTCGCAATATACACTTATTTCATAGTACTATAATTTGAATTGTTTAAATTATTTGTTAAGACAGTGATAATACACTATTTTTCATTTACTGATGACGTTCCGAGTACAATTTATTACTACTCATAATCATATCGAGGCATTCATGTAAAACTTCCAAACTTTTTGTTCATGATTCCACTATTTCTTATCCTTTGGTTTTATTTTCCATATCTCGGGTATTGGTGTTACGTTATTCCTATCGTAGATTTGATAAACAAGGACTAATTGATCGATCTCCATCTTGAACTTTAGCATAATACCTTATAGAAATGTAGCTCTGTTGTGTGGTTAGTGTATGTATTGGAATGGCTCAGTTTGTTTATATAAGTGGGTCAGACTTTAGAGTTGGCTATTCTGCACTTATCTAAATCCTGTGTTCTGATCTACCGGGTTAACCTATGTAATTCACTTTAAAGCCATTGTAAGGTATTTTGTAATTAAGGATGTCTTGTCTAGTGTGAGTCATTCAAATCTTTTAGCGTACAAAGTTTTGTCTCTGAGTGAGTTTTTAGGGTTTAAATGCTACTCTAACTCTCTCCTTATTAAGAATTCAGCGTACAGTTTCCAATGTATTCAAATTCTTCTCTTATATCAATGTATAATACGTATCCGGAATTCATGTAATGAAAAGGAATCTGAATCTTCTGTTTTTGTGTCTTTATACAACACTTTTCCTGATTTAGGTACTTATTCTTTGCTCTTCATATTCTGAGTGGAACATGCAGTTTCAAGCTTTGAAGTTTCAGTAGTGGTGGTACTGTATTTTTATAGGTGGGATTACTAAACACACTTAACCTTCTATCTTTTCCCAGCTTATTACTGGCTGGTAAATTAAGCGAGGTTTATGTGAATACGTCAGCTGGGAGTCGAATCCGAGCCTCCTGTGTTGCTGCCGATCCTTCCATGAGTGAACCACCGACGCTTAAGTCAGTTGATTTATCGTTCATCCCCTGATTTAGATATTTTTTAAACGTTTGATTAAAAACAGAACAGTTTAGTGCTCATTCAAACGCGTTCATATTATTCAGTCAGAGACTCAAAAATGTGAGTTTTGCCAACTAATGATAATATCTTTTTTCTGACTCCTTAGTTACAGGTACTCATTTGCTTCATCTGCATAAAGGCTGTTCTAGATTTTATATTGAACAAATTTTTGTATTTATTACATTGTCGGAAGTCATTCTTTTCGTGGCTTCTAACCTTGCAAGTGTTTCCTTTTCGTAAGCGAACTTGGTTTTCGTGGAAATATTTCTTTTCTACACCTTACTACATTATATTATGGAAACTGGTGACGTATAAATATTGAAACGTAAAAAAGTACAGTTCAAAAACCTCCTAAGTGTGTTTTGTTATAATACTAATTATTATTCGCTCCTTGTGTTCTGAATGGATCATACGACTTTGGAGGTACATCTCCAATCCCCTCCGTTTTCTACTAACACTTTCAGCTGGCTTCACCACTCTCTTCAAGCTTTTACATTTCCCCTTCACACGATCTCCTTCATGTCACCTTCGGACCGGTGACCAACTAGTAGTTCCCTATTAGGGTTCCGCTTGAGGCTCTGTGTAGCGTGTAATGTCACTTGAATATCTCTTTAGTGCGTATGTTCAATCCACCTCCACTTCATTCTCCATATTTGTTGGGCTATAGGGTTGTCTGTTGGTTCACTGTATTGCCGGAGTTCCTTGTTGCTTATATCTCCTTTTTGACCAGCTACGTGATATTCAGTATCGACTCACTGACCTTGGCTAGCTTTGATATCCTCACCACCTGGCTTTGTCTGTAGTTGAGACGCGATGTTGTCCGGGTGAGCGGAGATAACTTCTTTTATATTTCTCTTATTGATGCTGTTTGTTGTAGGTCAAGTATCTTTGTGAGCTGCATAGGAGCATTGGCTTGGCATTAGTGTTAAAAATTCAGATGTTGTTCTTTGTGCTTGGCACTGTAACCAACACAACTGCTCTTATTTGATTTTTTCGTCTATTTTTTCATTGTAATATGTCCTTATTTTTCCATTATCTTTTCTGTTTTTTCCTATTGTTCTTTCTGTTGTCAGAATGTTCATCGTTATTGCTTGCCAGGATCACCACTTGTTTATCATACTCGATTAAGACCTCATTTAGAAGATGTGTTAGATCGCCTCAGTTACTATTATCAAATGCATATTTGTACATTTGGCAATCGTGTATATGCTCATCAACTTGCCTCACTGATAGATCCAAAGCGTAAATACTTTTCACAACGTATACTTTCACGGGATGAATGCTTTAATCCAGTAACAAAATCAGCAAATTTAAAGTAAGTCAGTTGATTGATTATTTTTTCTAGTAAAATATTATCAAAAAAGACGTTCAAACATAAATTCTCCTCTATAAAGTACACACTAGTTATAATATTCAAGTATTGGTTAGTAGGGATTTGATTGATTGGTTACAAGATTTCATGATGAGCTGACATCGGTTAGAAAACCATTGAAAAACCTGCAGGGAGTACTGGACAGCTGTTTCGTCCTAGTTTGGGACTTCATCAGTACACACCCACCACCAGGGTTCGAACCCAGGACCTTCTGGTTACAATGGTTCCAGTGGTTTAATAGTCTACGAGCTCGCCTTGTAACCAGGAGGTTCTGGGTTCGAGCCCTGGTGGTGGGGGCGTGCTGACGAAGAGTCCCAGGCTAACTAGGACAAAGGAAACAGCTGTCTAGTACTCCCAGGTTTCCAAATGGGTCTCTAACCTATGTCACCTCATGATGAAATCCTGTAACTAGTTATAATAATCATAAACATTTTGAGGACATTAGTCTATATTATGCATTTCTTCTACTTTCTTCTCTTGCTTTGCGTGCTACATAGATTGTGGCGACTTGAACTGCCGCACATATGTGCAAAGTTCTATGTCGAAAACCGACCGACCGAGTGAAGAGTAAAATAAAATGTTGAGAATGAAATTTTTACTGAATTATTCCTTCATACACTTTACAAGAGCATTTTTTTCATTTTGATGTTTTATAGTAAGTAATCCTTGATGAATTATTGTTTTTTTCGCTTGTGTTCTGAGTCGTATGTATAACTACAGGCTTTGAAATTTCAGTAGCAGTGCTTTTTTTAATTACGAAGTGGAGTTGCTACTCTCACACCCAATCTTCCCACGTTTCCAGGACTACTAATAGCTAGTACACTAGCCACTACCGGTGAATCAAAATGCTGGTGCATTTTAAAAAGGTGATGAGAAACAACTTGTTTGAGCAGTTTGTGTCGGTAAAAATCTGTTCTTCGGACCTATCATGTTTTGTTGTTTTATTTGTAATTTCTTGTGAACTACCTATTCTCTGCTGTCATACAATGTATACACACATTTTAAGGAAATTAATTTCTTGGGTTGTTATGACAAAATCTACCAGTCGATTTGTGTATTCTTTAGTTCAGATAAAATCACAGATATAAAGAAAGAAGAAATTAATGAAAGAGGCGATGAAGAGGCTAGTCGTCTGTGATCATAGGCATTCGCATTCTGTCTCCCGTGTAGAGTAGTACAATATTGTGAGTGATACTGAGGTTGGGTAAGGAGTGAATGTTAACTAAGAAGATCGGGGAGCTGACTCGATTGAAATGGTCAGAAAATATATTACGCATGGTAAGCCACCCGTTTCCTTGTCGAGCAATGTTATCTGATATAAGATTTGATTCAGAAAAGAGTTAGCATGGTGATCAAATCAAAACATGGATTGAATCCATAAATTACTTGACTGTTAGTTTGAGCCAGCGACGTAAGGAGGTGTATACTGTGTTGTCAGGGTCGTCGGGATGCTAAGAAGCAGTAGTAGGAGTCTGTTGGTGAAATGGCCCGAAATCGTTCTCGACGATTTAGATTTATTCATTCACTAGTCTTCATATATTTATTCTTTCTCCTGCACATTTCGCTTCATCGTAGTTCCTTTGCGTTGTTTACCCTGCCTTTATGTGTGTTTTTATGAAGTATAGCACCTTGAACTGGTGCATATATGTGCATAGTACTACGTTGAGAATTTTTTGAAACTTATTGTAAGTGATAAGAATATGATAACCGCTCAATACAATTCTCCAAGAATGTGGACGAAATGACATTTCTTCTCCATAATTCATCTTAATAAGGAATTTTCCGCAAAATTTATATACTTAGTAATGACAAAAAACATCGCTTTCTAAAGTGAAATCTACTCCTGCCACACTTCTGAGTTTAACGAAAAATTGCTAGGCGGATAATCCTGGAGTCGATTGTGTTTGCAAGGTTATGGCTGTGTGTATGTGTCTATGCAATTAAATTTAGCCTAAATTCCATAATGGTTAAGATTTTATTTTGATAAATCACACAGTGTTGTACAGTTATATTAACTGATGACGTTTCGAGCACAAACTATTGCTCATAATCATAATCATCAGTTAATATAACTGTACAACACTGTGTGATTTATCAAAATAAAATCTTAACCATTATGGAGTTATACTCTATCACAGTGCCCAAGTTTTATACTTATATCAATTAGCCTAAATTCTTTTGTTTACTCTGAACACCACTTAGGTAAACAATTATTTGTTAGGAATCATCTTAAAATAGACACTGTTCTTTGTTGGGTTTTAATTAAGGCACCTAGTCTGTGTGTTACTCCGGCTTTTGTATATAACAAACCTTTGTGCTATTTTTAAACTACTTCCTTGAGATTCGCTTGAGCCAGCGTAGGACAGTGTTTTATTTATTCATTTTTATATTCAATAATCTTCATACTTTCACGTCGATCTAATTTTCTTTTTCCTTCACAAAAGGGCTTTATTTCCTCGTGGTCTGAATTTAGTTTGTATCATTGATGATCGTGGTGAAGTTTGGGATTGGTCTCCGAATTTGGTCCATGTCAAGCCGTATCGGTAAGCTGGATGGGTTTTTCTTATTCTATGATTCCAGGGTATCCATTATTTAAGAATTTTCTTCATTAAACACACTTTTTATAGGGCTAATTTAAGTCTGGTATATATAATCCAGCTGAATTATGATTTGGTTGTATGTGCAAAGGATAGACTATCGTTCTCATTTCAGTGTATCTCATATTTCATATTCTGCTGTGATTAAGCGCTGGTTAAATTCGACTCGGAAAACGCCTAACCAAACGTTATCCATTTTAGTCGACGAGACATTAACGTGAAATTTAAAAATCTATTTGTTGATATCTTTCGGAGTTAGATTGTTTAGCTACTTGTCATGCGACTATGGAACTAAAGTCAAACACTCAAAAAGTCTGCACTTTCATCACGTATTCATGACTCTGAGCCACCAGTCATTCTTGGGCGGAAACTTAGGTTGCCGATCTGGTGTAAATTGAATACTTGTACACAATCACTTCTGGCCTCGTCCTGACTTCATTCTGGTTGTCAAACATCAGGTATACATCGCTTCGACACTTTTAGTCTTCATTCACGCCTTTGGTCAAAGTGAGTATTTTCTTTTAGTTGGTAGTTGCTTTGGAATATCGGTTCCAGTGACTTGGACATGTGTTAGAAATGTTATCCCAGGAGTTGCCGTACTGTTCACAATTGGCTACCTCAGGGACTGATCAGAAATAACAGAGAGATCTGGGTAACATATGGTATGGTGTAGTTGAGAAACGGATAATAGTGTTAAGTTAGTTGTCTGTCGGTGTGTCACTATTGTTCCTTGACTAAGGTTCGAGTGATTATGCAACTCACTAACTTGAATTTTATCAAACATGACCCTGAAAATGGAAGTCTTTTTTTCCTGCTGCTGAAGTAGTATTCTTGGCTTTTTCTATCCCCTTTATCCCTACCTATTTTTTGCTTTTGTATTTCTGTTTGATAAAGTTGTCCTTACAGTCACAGGTCATTGTTTATCTTCTGATATTTTCGTGGCCCAGTAAAGTTAGATGGTAGGTAATGAGAGAAACAAATTGTACCTACGTCTTATTTTCTTTGGTAGCATAAATGCAGTCTTAAAAATACACTATGAATGGATACTACTGATAAAGAATTTGTCTCTATATTTCTCTAGTTTTTTATTCTTAGTTATGTTTTGGCTGTGTTAACATAGATTAAAAATGCCTTTTAAGTCAGCATATGTGACTAGGGTTATCATCTAGTTCAGTAACATTATGGGTAAATTTTTATTTTGATAGTCTCACAGTGTTATACAGTAATATATCAATATTATATCAATAGTTCAGTAACAGTTATAACAATATGTGCATATATATTCATTTATTTATAGTTTTTTCCCCGATATTGGAGATATCAACGCTTTCCCATGGTTATCAATGCAGTCACAACTTGCATGTCAACCATCCACATCGGCATCCCCCTTGCCCAAATCAAAAACGCAAACACTTTCTGATACCCAGTTAAACCAGGAGAAAGTCGATGTGAATGAAAATGCTTTATCAGATGATATAAATGAAACTGTTACAAACAGCGATGATTTCATTAATGACAACACCACACTTATTACAGCTACCTCGTTTACTATCACAAAAAGTGAAATGGAGAGTGAGTAAGTGGCATGTAATTAAATTGTAATACAAGTAATTAATATTGATGGTTAAGTGTGTTTGAACTTGGTTACCTCGGAACATATGTGTTCAATGCACTATTGGGCTACTGAGCTACAGAATTGTTGTGTAACCGAAGACTGGTGATACAATCATCTAGTTGGCCAGGTTGAATAAGGTGGTGGCATGATTCGAACTCGGGACTCATTCGGCTGGAAGCCGAATGGTTAAGCCGTTAGCCATATCTGCATTTACTGCATATTCATGCTCATGTTACTGAGTCATTTAGTGTGTTAGATTGAGCTGATGTTTCACATCCAGGCTGTCCGAAGCGTAGTAGGTGAAGTTGGTCTTGAATGCATAACCCCACTGATTGAAAGCCACGTGACTAGAGCAATGGTCCACATCCTGGTAATCTTAGTGAATTTGATATCTGCCGAATTACAACTATGCCTGTGAGTTGAATTGTACTTCCATAGTAGGTAGATTGTTCATTATTTGCAAATTCAATGTAAGGCGAGAGTCTGAACTGTAACGACGATTCGGGTGGTTTAAACTGACTTGACCCACTGAAATTAATTCTCTCCTGGAACACAGCTGGTGAAGTTAGCTGCAGACAGGTGAAACGGCCGCCCAATGTTTATATCCTTCTTTGATTTAGTGTCCAATGAATAATACTACCTTATTAGTTTGTTTATTAGATGTATCACACAGTGCAACAGTATTATTTACTGGATGACGTTTCGAACAAAATTTATTGTTCATAATCATGTCAATTGTAATCACACGACTTTGAAACTTGAGTTTTATAGTTTTCTTTGTTCTCTCCTACTTGTCGTCATTGGGGTAATAGAATTTTCCAGATATCTGAGTGGACAGGTGTTGAATCATTCCTATTACACGTATTTGCAGTTGATTCGATAAACAAAACTTCTGTTATTAATCTTTCCCTCCACCGTGCTGTGATATTAGATTTTAAAACTGTCATCCTATCCCATCCATCCTATTGTATGGTTGTGTGTAATTGCATGTAGTGAGTAGTGCTATAGCTGAACTATTCTCTAGATTTCCTATCTTATTTGGATCAACCAATCTAGATTTTGCTAGGTTTTTATGTTCGGCTAGTTTGACTGCCCCTGTTCTACTACTTTGACCTATGTATTTGACCTGACAATCATTCCAGCAGGGTATTAGATAAACTAAATTGTTTTGTTTTGAAGGCTCCACAGGATTGATCCTTTAACCGACAAAGCTTGTTTCTAATTGAGAATACTACCTGTTTTACGTTAGTAGTTTTCATCTACTCGATGGCTCAGTAGTCTATATCACCATCGCTCTATTCTTTATGGTTGATTGATTGAAATTAAATTCATAGATTTTCATACTAAATGACTTTCGTTTTCTAAATATAGATGGTTTTTCCTACTTGCCATTGCGATACCAACTCAGATCACATTGAAATCTGAGGCAGTTGATCAGTTATAAATTCTTCGTTTCTCCATCCCCCCGCTGAATGTCTGCCTACCTTTGTATCTGTAATGAAAGAAAATATCACCTTTGCATTATATAGAGATGTGTGTCGCATTCAGATTTCCTTTCAATAAGTCCTAGTTTTGAATTCTACTGCGTCTGCTTTAACCCGAACTACTAAAACTACTTGATGGTAATATCCATAGACTTGACAGAATAATAATTGCCTGGCATATGCAAATTCTGTCTGAGGTAACTTGTAAGCGTAAAATGTTATTGACATTTCCCTTTTCCTTTCCTTCTCTTTTCTCTTTTTTTGTCTATTTAGTAGTAGAGATGGTAATCCAGTTCCCTCTGAAAAACAAGATATTGACTCTTGTAAGTTAGACGCCTGTCTTGATGAAGAGTGTTCATCATCAATTTCTCTTACACCTTTTCTTAGTAATGAGGACAAAACTGACAACAATACCACAACAGCTGTTTTGACAAATGTCAATACTCCTTTAGACAGTAATAACGATAATACAGAAAATCCAAATGAAAATGTTATAATTTCATCTAAAAAGACAATGGAAGAAGAAATGGATGCACTAGATGATGATTATTTATTACGTTTACAAGAAATCCTGTTAAGGATTCATAGAAATTATTTTAAAACTTATGATCTTTATCAACAACGTAACAGAAAAAAGTCTATCAACAAACCTGTTGATGATAAGAGAAAGCACAGGTAAATATGAAGTATATTCATTTTTATGTTTGGTTTTGACTATTATTGGTATTACTATTACCATTGTTATTATTAAAGATGGAGCTGATGGAAATATCCAATTAACAACAAGCCTAATCTAGACAGCATCGGTATGACTGAGGGTCGGGAAAGTAAGAAATAGATTCAATACTGTGAAATCCGCGTCAACGCTCAAGCACGCTCAATACATGGATGAGGTCACTCAGAGACTTGCCGTGGTTGTCATCATCTGCATTTCTAACAGCCTATTTGCACGCTTTTTAAACAGGTAACTTGACTGGATACTGAAGATTTCGTAGCTGGGGGGAGGGAGAAAATGAGCAACGAGAAACTTAGGTGATCAACCAGCCAACAACCTACTACTCAACCAAAAAATTTGCGGAGGGAAATGTAGATGATTTAGACATACACTGGGGAGACATTTAAGTGACATTACGCGGCAGACAGTGCTTTCAGTGGAACCCAAATGGAAAACAACGGAGATCATGTGTGCAGGAAACAGAAGTTTTTGGGGTCAGCTGGGAAAGATGGCAAAAAAAAGAGTGGAATTGAGATGTACTGCTAAAGCCCTATTTTCTACTCGGAATTCAAGGAAGGAATGATAACGCAAATCAATCCATAGTAAATGTGGATAGTGTTAATAAAAGACGGATTTCATCTGAAAAATGTCATGTATTTGTGCAATACATTTCGAACAATCTAACTACACATTTAGGTGTCATTTGAATTTGTTTGAGAAATATTAGGTCAACTAAAATGAACAAAATAATAAGGGATTGAAAGGTGATAATTATTGTTGTACACACAAAGAAAAGAGAAGGGCTATCACCTCAATTTGTGGTGGTATAATACAGACAATATGTGTCAACGGAATATTATTCTCACATATTCCCACAGTTCAATTCAGCATTGGCAACAGAACATTTTATTTGATGATACAGACAGAATACTTTTCCCACGGTTACATACTGCATTGATGTGATGTGTTTCTGTATAGACGAGGATGGATGGTAGCCTGTCACCTGCACTTTACAAGGTTTTGGAGTTTAACTATTTTCCAAGGCATGTTTGTCCATATGTCTTCCAACTCTCTTGTGCAAAGTGCCAACACTTTTCCCTATGTATGTCAGCCCACGTAAACACGTAAATTTGCATACAATATGGGTTGTGATGTCCAGATGTTGGGGCTTGTGTTAGATTATGCTACCGGCTGTGTAGTAAGTTTTACGGATAACAGAATCAAGTCTATCTTAGAATCATGTTATTTGTTTCCCCGTTGTAAAACAGTATGATATAGACATCTTTCTTAGGCGTAGATTAAACTGAACTTAACTGTCCTCTGGTGGTCATCAGTTTGCAATTGAATAGGCATGCATATTTACCTCAAATTTATCAATTCATAAAAAAATAGGAGTCACATGACTAAAAGGTCAAATATCAGGTAAACGGGAGGACCAATATATTTGATATAAATGGACAAGTAATGTTGCTATGCAAAGAATTCCCAAAGCCAACTTCACAGTGCAGTTAGCACTGAAGTGAAAGCTTCACATTCGTGACACCATCCAGTTCAGAGAACGCAACAACTACAATACTAAAATAGCTATTCATCTAGGCCGTAAATTTTCTCCACTATTATAGTAATTAATCTCATGTTATTTCAGTAAACTGTCATTTTTCTGGAAACAAATCGCTTAAGAAGTATTCATCAGATTGTATTACATAATGATGTTAGCAGGTAAGTTATATTTAATGACATAAGCTAGTACTTAAAAGTTAACTCTGGGGAAAAACAGCCTATTGACTAATTTCGATGACTGGAAATCGTAGAAAAGAAATCTAGATCCTCGAATTCATCAATATTCCCGTGAATTATTCAACATAAATTAACATGAACTGGATACTGAATCAGCCAATTAAGCCAGTAGTAGGTCTCTGGTTCCAGTCCCACTCCGCTGTTTCACTTTGTGTGATATATCCAATAGACTAATTGATGTAAATTTACAAACAACAACATGCTTTTTATCTAAAATAATGGAAACGCTTTTTAAAGATTCAACAACATTTTGTCTTTATTCTTCCTCATCAATTTTTTTCTCATACTTTTTCAATTAGTGAATATTCGGCAGACCCATTATCATCATCATCATCGTCATCACCTGTCATGGACAATTTGTCCAAATCATCTTCAACTAGAAATACAGATGTATCTATTTCGTGTAATAATTTACCGCATGTTTCTGATATTATCGCAAAGTTAAGAAAAACTGTTCTCGGTCCAACGTGTCATGTAACATTGTCTGGTCTGTCACCTGCTCATTTTCCTGCTGATCAATGTTTAGCTGGTCGAATTGTGCGTAGTTTAGGTGGTATATTACACGCAGGTTTAAGACTGCCGTCTAGCAAGCAAGTTAACAATGACAACAACAACAGCAATAATAATAATAATAATAAAAATGATAAGGATACAAAGTCATCTGCACCTGTCGATGTTACCCAATTGAAATCAGAGTGAGTTTTTAATTTTTTATAGTCGAGTTTCATATTTCTCCGTTGATCAATTGATGCTCTACTAGCGGCTGACCCTATTCAGGTAGGTAGTTACTTGCGTTGTAGTGGGAAATTGTGACGAATGGGGTGGTGCAGCAGATAGGGTGTGAGGACAAATACTCGCCAATGACATTAATTGGTGGTCGCGCTATGTATTAAATTGGCGGAAGTTGGAATTCATAGCCCGACCATTGGATCGGGTCCCAGTGGCTTAATGGTCTACGAGCTTCGCTTTGTAACCAGAAGGTTTTGGGATCGGACCTTCGTGGTGTGGGCGTACTAACGACGAGCCCCAGACCAAGACGAAACAGCTCTTCAGCACTCCCAGATTTTCTAGTGATTCTCCAACTGATTTCATCTCATGATGAAATCCTGTTACCAGTGAAATCCCTGCAAACCCACACTTGACTGATTTCTATTGGTTGAACCGAAATCCCAAGTTTCTATAAAGATGTTCGCTTCTAGTGGAAACGTTTCAACGATGCCCTGATAGTTAACTTGGTATCATTCGGTTCTGTTCTTAATAAATCGTAATGCTTTCTCACCATTCCCCACAAAAAAATTCATACTATACTAGGTACAAAATGCACACGTGATTACTCACTTTCTATCCAAAGACATAGCTGAATGATCAAACACAACATGTGAAATAAGAGTCAAATGTATTACATTTCAGGTGCATGAAGAATTAAGTAGGTAGCCCAGTCAATGATATTCAAGTTGGGCTTCAAGAAGTATTGTTTTGCCAAGGATTTGTTTCTGTTTTTTTTTTTTTGTGTGTCTATGTAATTTAAGTGAAGCGTCTCATTCACTTGATAATTATTTCCGCATCAATTTACCTTATTTATTTAATTTTATTTTTTACCTAAAATCATTTCACACCTGATAGTAGTGCTGTTCGTAGAGTTGGACATCATACTACACATTTGATTGCCTGTCGTCGTGGCACAGAAAAAGTTCATGCAGCATTAAAATATTTAGCTGATAGTTTTCAGATTTCAAATGTGAATTCGTCAACACCATCGCCATCATTTTATCTTGTCTCTCCACAATGGTTATGGGCATGTCATTATCATTGGGAACATATCTCTGAAACAAAATATCCATTAAATCACGATTTTCATCCAAGTGATTTTGATCCTGATATTGAACCTATTCCAGGTACAATTAGATATGCTCGACGTATGCGACGATATTATAATAACCGTGGATTTAATTATCTTCATACTGATCATCATCATCGTCAACGTCGACATCGTCATCATCATCACCACCATCATCATCATCGTCATTCACATCATGATCATCATCTACAAAATAAACATAGTCATAAACACCATGTACATCGACATCAGCATTCAGCTACAGATCTTGAATTGTCTTCTAATATAAACGCTGAAGTGTAAGTATTTATCAATCAAATCAATTTTTATGCGTATGTAACTTGAAATCAATTAAATCTCTGCTAATCAACCCTTAAAAATTATAATCTATTGTTCCCATTAATGACTGATGGAGTAACCAGTAGGGTCCACCAAGTCATCGGGTGTGAGGAAAAATATTCGCCTATGACATTGATTAGCGGTGGCACTATATATGGCGCCATTAGGCATTCATGGGTTGTTGAATTTTGTCCCAGTGATTGCGGGTGGTCAAACTTTTCGCCTCGCAGCATGAAGGTGCTGGGTTCGATCCCGGGTGGGGATGACAGGTGTATACTGCTGAATAATGTCAAACATGGACGACACAACCCTCCTATATTCTTTGGTTTTAAGTGGTTGTCTAACTGATGTGTGAGTTCGTGATCTACCACCTTGAGTGGTAGTGTTCCCAAGGAGAATTTCATTCCTGTGTAATTAGTCAGCGTGAACTAACATCCATCAGCAAGTTATGTACCCTGACACCTGATTAGGTGAACACCCACTTACCATAATTTCTCACTGAAACTTCAGGAGTTCCACACGTACTCAATCAGTCACTAATATAATCAGTGGATTTGAGCAAGTAACCGATGCATTTTCAACAAGACACTGGGCATGTAATTGGTATTTTTTGTGCTAAAACTGACTGATTCGTCAGTCGAATTCAATAATTCCAAGTGTTTGTAACAGTTTTGCTTGTTAAAATTTTCCATAGGATTATTTATGTAAAAGGAGAATTTGGGCACTGTTGTGGGATATAACTCCATATATGCAAATTTTATTCGACATAACATGCAATGTGATGATACAGTGTTAAAAGCGGGGATAACGGTTTAAGCACAGTTTATTGTTACTCATTTTCATCTTAATATATTCTCAGACGGTTTCCTTTATATGGATTTTGCTTTACTCTCACTTGTTTTTAATGCAATTTCCCATAAATGCTGGGTAGGTGTTGTGTTAGTTCGATTGTATTGATTTGATTCGGCGAACAAAGATTCAGTGATTAATCTCTCTCTTTCTCTCTCCACCTAATGATATTACTTTTTATTACTTTTACCTTGTGCCACCATATTATGTATTTACATGCCAATGCATGCATAGCTCTGCTCAAACTTTCTGTAGGTTTCCTGGCGGGTGAATCATTCTATAGCTTGTTAAGATTCTATGCTCTGATAACCTAACTGACCCCGATCTATTAGTTTGAATCATGTGTAACGCTGGTGTGTAATTATACAGTACCAATGATTTCTTTATTTGTTTGAATTCATTATTGAAATCTTCTAACTTGATAATCCGGTTCCTGGCTAAAATAAATAAGTAGTTAACTAACTAAATCCACGTCTACCAATTTTTGCGTGGAATGATTCAAAGTTCAAATAATTATTAAAATCTGACAGTTTTTTTTATAGATACCAGTGTCAACCCACCATAGCTAACTTACATTTTTCGTTTTCTCCAACTCGAAAGTAAATTGAATTCTATCTGTAAAGGTAGAAGACGAAAGACTTGGTAAAGGAATTTAGTATCTCTGTATGGCAAAATTGTGTACACCCCATCTTCAAATCACCATTTGCACAGATCTTCCGTGTTGTGTTACTTTGGGCCTTCATATTGTGTTTCTTTGTGGTCCTTTCACGTCTCCCATGTATCTCCGCAACTCTGTATCATTTTATTTCCCTGACATCAAATCTATCTTCTTGCTATTTGATGTTTGTATGCCGATGAACGTCCCATTATATACTACTGATAAATCTTATCAGTAGCGCACGCCACACATCTACTGGTGAGTCTAAATGTGTGAAGAAATTAGGTAGACATATGTGTGGACGACATATTCCCTGTGTTATATGAAGGGATTTTGGAATTCGTGTGAGAATACATTCTTATGATTATGGCTAGGAATAAACTGTGCTTGAAACGTCATCCAGTGATTCATAATGTATGGTCACAGTGTATTGTATCAGGAAAGCTTATCAAATATGGAGTTAATATTTTTTGTATTTCTTTAGTGTGTATTAGGGTTTATAGTGTTATTGGACATAAAAAATACTTTTAAATTTTAGTTGGTAAAGTGCTGAACTTTAGCAATCCTTAAGGCGGTTACTAGTTCGAAGCGTGGCAGATTTTAACTCAATTCCTTCAACCCTCTTACCCATCATATCAATTGATACAATTATTATTGTATTATCCCCTTTAAAATGGTCCTCTGTTTTTTAAAGTTTTTGTTTGTGTATTCTTTTTTCCCCGTATAGTAACCAAAAGGTGCCTTGTTTAGATCCAAGTATAGTTCGATCAGCGTTGGATTCAATTCGCACAGAGCGTGAAAATGATCGTAAACGCAAGTTGGAAAGAAAGTCAACCAAAAACAAGAAACACCATAAACGTCATCGTAAGGAAGAATTATCATTTCGGCACACTTCAGAGGAGACTACATCACTGGCTGATAAAATAGGTAAGAGAGAATTTGTGATTTTTCAAGTGTCGGTTTTTTTCAGGGATTTGATTTTAGTTTGAAGTTAGATCACGGAGTGACATATAGGTGTTAGCGAACTATTAAAAACTGACATCGATTATTAGACAGATGTTTTGTCCTTGTTTGAGGCTTCTAAGCAGTACGCACTCATGAACCCCACCAGGGACTGAACACAGGGCCTACAGGTTACGAGGCGGGCTCGTTAGCCATTCAATCACTTGAACAAAACCCATTGGTTTGTGAATCCTCATTTCTAATCGCCAATTGACAGGTCCTAGGTTCTATATGTAGTCATGGGTGTACGTATTGTTAAATGGTCCATAACTAGGGCGAGACTGCTTTTGAGTACTCTCTGGTTTTCAGTAGTTATCTAACTGAACTGTAGGTTCGTAATCGGAGTTGAAATCAGTCAAGTTACTGCAAAACCAACTAACTACTGAAAGATCGGGGAACCTAACGTATTATGATACTAGTTTCCGTCAATCAGTGACGTTATCAAAAATAGCTACCTAGTTTTAATATACCAAAGATCTTACTTAATTTTTTAAGTTTACCGATGATGGAAAATTAGGTTGACAAGAGTAGAATGGAATAGAGCCTTTCATCATTGTGTAGTTGTTCAAGTTGGTAATCCTCCAAACCATCTAGATATCGAGAACTATAAAAGGATTGTTAATATGGTTGAGTATAAATGACTGCGATTTGAAAAGGAAAAACAAATAATGTGAAAGGTAGCTAAGCTCCGCAAGTTTAGACAATTACGAGCTGGTGGATTTGCTCCATTACGCTTGATTTCACTGAGGTTTTGAAAATATTAATTGGTGACGTATATTGTAAAGATCTCACCAAGACAACTTACACCTTTCTCCTTGCTGCTGTGAACTTCATAGATGGGTTTTGTAGCAGTTTATGAATTTTCGTTGTTTTTTTAATCGAATTAAGAAGTAATTTTACCAGTATGCAGTCCTAGCTCGAAGTTGTATCTACAATTAAACAAAAACCACACGGTTTTGGTAATAGTCTTGTATTATAAGGATAACCGAAATTCAGACAAGCACTTTTGTGCATATGTCTTAAACACATATTGTACTTAGTTTTTATAATCCTCAAGCAAACTCAGACACACACATTAATGAACGTACAATTAGTTGTTATATATATGGGGATAACCAATAGAGTTAGAATACTGCAATTAACTCATCACATATAACTAACTTACACCGTCTCTGGCGTAGGCGTGACATCCGGCTGTCAACCAAGGGACGTGTATACTGCTCAGCAGTTCGCTCCGTCCTTCTCTATGGCGGTGAGACGTGGCCATTGAGAGCGGAAGACATAAAGGGATTGTCTGTTTTTGACCACAGATGTCTACGATCTCTTTCTCGCGTTAGGTGGTATAATAAAGTAAGTAATGTTGACGTTAGGCGTAGAGTGTTGGGCAAAGAGGGAAAATCACTCGAAGAGGCTATGAAGTTACATAGATTGAGATGGTTAGCTCACGTGCTGCGCATGCCTAGCCATCGTCTCCCCCGACGGGCATTACTAGCTGATATAGGTGCAGGTTGGAAAAGAGTAAGTGGTAGCCAAACAAAAACATGGCCTCATCAATCCATGAAATCCTTGACAGTTAAACTGAGTCAGGTAGGGAGATGCAGACTTCCAGGTTGGGGCCCTCGGGACTCTAAGAATCAATGGCTGGAGACACTAGGTGACATGGCTCAAAATTGTTGTCAATGGCGCAGATGTATTCAGTCTCTTTAACCTTCATATTCCTTTCTACCATTACTCATTCTGTTTCACTCTTATACTTATCTAAATTCTATTGATTCTCTTCTCTCATTTTCCTGGCTACCTTTGTGTGCTATTTGGAACGTGGTAACTCGAACTGCTGCACTTCGGTGCCAAGTTCTGTGTTGAATCCAGCAGCAGCAGCATCACATATAACTGTGCCAAAAGTACTGTTTAGAATAAAGCTATTATTATTATAAAGTTAGAAAGTGAATAGACAAGCCAGTTATAACCCAGTGATTTATGGATGAATTAAATGTGTAACTGTATGAACATTAGAACAAGGCATATAAGCGAACAATATTGTTTTCAATTAGATCTTCTTCAGGTTTTACTCTAATTTACATAGATTTATATATAAAAAATTTTAACCAATGACGGTGATTTTGTGGATCAAATAATAATTATGAGTGAACATTTACAAATAATCACAGAGCTATTCTAGATTGCTTCCAACCCTTTACAATTTTACCCTAGTGATATGTTGTATGGTAAGAGTTGTCGCCTAAGAAAGGAAGCAACCGTAGTGTGTGGGTGATTCAATAATGAGGTTGTGAAACTGCATTGACTGAGATGAGCAAGACATTGTCATCGAGCAATGATAGCTGATGTAGGATTGGGTGGGAGAAGATTTAGGGGTCGTTGAACCAAAACATGAAATCAGTCTCCCGTTCATTATAACTCCTTTGAATTTTTATTTTTCTCTCTCTTTGTGTGCTATATGGAGTTTGGCAACTTGAAATTCTGCACATTTGTGCAAATTAAATTCAATCAGTACACCAGTTTTATCCAAGTCACTGAATACACGTCTTTTTATTTTTTTGCACAGATTCGACGCGTTCTGCAAACAATGACCAAGAAGAAGAGGTATCTGAAAATGAGAGTTCTTCATCCTCTTCATCTCCATCATTAAAATCAGATTCTTCTGTCGAATTAGATAATAATAATAATAATAATAATAATCATAATAATAATAATAATAATAATAATAATAGTGGTAGTAGTTTTAAAAAGATAACGTCCAAGCAACAACAAAATTCACCATTGAAACAAATCAAAATGAATGAAAGTACTTCAGAAGAAATTCCACTAACGGACTGTTCATTTGAACCGTTGTCTTCCACTACTGATTCGAATGTCACCTGTCAAAATGATATTTCAAACTGTTTTCTTTGCAGTGAGAACAATTTTCATCAAGCTGATGAAATTAAAGACGAAGGTGATCAAGATTTCGATGAGTGTACTACAGAGAATTGTACTGAATTAGAAGAGGAAGAAGCTGCAGATGAAGGGGAAAAATATGGTGACTTGATGCAACAATACACAGAAGACAATGATGAAATGGGACAATCAGATTTGATGAAGAAGGGAACAAATGAAGCAGAGCAATTGAAGGCTCAACTCAACAACTATTTGCCACCTCCAACAAGACTAGTGTTGGCTGATAATCCTTTAATGCATTTACCTCCAGATGTAAGAAGAATTGTGCCTTTTTCTCTCATACTTTTTCATTTTTAAATTGAATTTCTCTTTTTTGGAACTTGGGATGATTGACTGGTTTCAACATAGAACTTTGCACAAATGTGTGCAACAGTTTGAGTTGCCATTCTCCACGTAGCTAACAAAGCAAAAGAAGAGAATAGAGATAATGAATAGAAATGTGAGAGGAAACGAATAGTAATGTGGAAGAACAATTGTTTTATTGGATATGATAATTCGCAAAGGGTGAATGCATCTGCGCCACTCAAAACGAGGATTTTGAGACTTATCACCAGTTGTCTCCAGCCATTGGTGTTCACCGTCCCGAGGACCCCAACCAGCAGATAGTCTACACCTTCCTACGTGGCTGGCTTAAACTAACCGTTGTGAAATTATATATGTCCAAACCAAGTTCACTTTTAACGGTTTGAAAAAATTTGGGCATTGGGTATATAATATTCATTATAATAAAGGTTTTTGTATTTCACAATGAATGAAAAACAAAACGATATTGTTTTTACTGACGTTTCTCTATTTAATGCTAATAGCTTTATCAAAGTATTATTAAACCGGAATTTACAAAATCTCAGCATATATATAACAAACAGTTAGGGGGTGAGAAAATAGACTTAAGTCAAGTTAAAACGACATTTTGAAAGTTAAAATAACAATGATGATCACTAAACCAAATAACAAAGGTAATAGTACGTCTGTTATGATATCAAAATAAAGTTTACTAACCTGATCATCGTTCGTTCCCATGTCTCACAGCCATAACGAAGGACGGAGCGAACTGCTGAGCAGTACACCCGCCCTTTGGTAGATAGCCGGATATCATATCTACGCCAGAGATGGCGTAAACTGGCATATGCGAAACGAGCCTTCTGTATCCGTTCTGAGATTTCGTCAGAGATCAACCCGTTGAGGCTGATGGTACTTCCCAAATAAGTGAAGCGGTCAACGTGCTCTACCACTTCACTCCCTATTTCTGAACTAGGAGTCAGTGTAGTCCAGTCCTGTAACATAATCTTATTTTGGTGGGAGCGAATCGCATGCCGAACATTCGTAGGTTGCAGCTCAAGGTGTTCAGAAGACTCTGTATTTTGTCAGCGTCCTCGCCTAGAAGGACTATATCGTCTGCATATTCTAAGTCAACGAGATTATTAATAGACGGAAGACCAGTAGTTCATCAAAGAGTCTCTTTCCGGCGAATTCCTCTTCGCCGAACTCTTCGTTGAACTACTGGTCTTCTGTCTATTAATGTTCGAATGGGAATTTTTCATGAACGAGATTATTCCCTGGTAACAAGTCAATCCCTGAGTTGTTGAAGTCAGTTAGGGTTTAGTCTATTAGTACATCTGTGATGAAACTGAAAAAAATGGGGACAGTGGGTATCCCTGACGGACACCATCAGTTGTTGCCACTTCAGATGACAACTCACCGTAAGCTGTTACCTGGCTGGCTGCATGAGTTCGAGTAGATTGCCTTAATCAGTGCAATGTATTTTCTCCGCATTCCCTTTACAGCCAAGCATCGCCTCTCGGCCGAGAGAATCGAATGCCGCTTTCAGGTGAAGAAATATGATGATTATTGGATGCCAGTAAGTATGCCTATGTTCTAGAATCTGTCGATAGGTGAAGATATGATCTTAAAACAAGCAATAAAGGTTAATAAAGCAGGATTTAATGAATTCATCAAATTTCGGTAGAACTCGTCAGCTGAATACTCTACATACACGGATATATACTTTTGAAGTTACATTGGGAGATATAGGACTGATAAGTAAATAAACTACATTGAATTAGTCATGCAGAAAGACAGGTGCGAATGTTTTTCCAGGTCATGTGCAATTAGATAAGGGGAGAGAGAGTATGGGAGATCAAAATTAAGATAAATTGCATTACGCTTCAATTACATCACTTAGATAAACAATTAGACATTAGAGAATTTAACAAGAATTGCAACCAGAGGGATGTCAATAGTAATAGTTATAATAATAACAATAATAATAATAGCGTTGAAGTGAGTTAAGATAATGCTACTGATAAAAGATAGTTTTAAATGAATCAAGAATAATAATAATGAGAATAATAGTAATAATAAAATAATAATAAGAGGTAGAATTATAAGTAAAACGTATTACCATGGTAGATTCAGAGTCACGACCATCTCCTTTTGTACACAGAGACCTGGTTTGTAAACTCGAATTGCACAAGCCTCTGCAATTGCAAGCATCTTCTTGTTTCTTTGTCTGCTGACAATGGTGAATGACTTGACTGCGTCGATATCGTGCCCGTAATCCACAAGATGCTTTGTTATTGAGGATTTTGGCACTTTGAACTCAGCTGTTTTCAACCATTTTGGCAAATGCTCCATCATGCGAGTAGACAATCTCCTTTCCGTACGACCTATGTATTTGCTTCCACAAACACACTCAAATTGATATACGCAGTTTGAAGTGTCGAGGATTGGCGACTGGTCTTTCCCAGATTGTTGAAGCACTCGCTTAGTGGTGTTAAGGAAAACAAGTTTTGCAGCATAATAAGTTCTCTTGATGGCTTTGTCGAGTCTTCGTTTGACTACTTCCTGTACATCATCTCCTTTGAACGGCAAGTTGATATAGACAGGTTTCTTCGGAACTGTTTGGATTGTTTTGGAGCGGGTGTTTTCTTTAGAGTATTTATTAATGAACTTCTCAGGATATCCATTCTTAGATAAGATATCCTTCAGGGATTTTATTTCATACTCAACAGTACTGTCAGAACAAATTTTTCGTACTCTATTGAACAGTGTTCTGACTAAGTTCTTTTTGTACTGGATTGGAACAAAACTCTTGAAATGCATGTACTGTCCTGTCCATGAGGACTTTCTAAATATAGATCTTTCGATTGTGCCATCATTCATTTTCGCCAGAAAAACGTCTAGGAATTTGATAGTATCATTTTCCTCGTGTTCTACTGTGAAATTGAGATTTGGATGGCATGAGTTGAATTTTGTCAGCATGTCTTCGGCTTTTGATCTGCTTCCACAGGCAATAAAAATGTCATCAACATATCTTAGGTATAGATCCGTTTCTTGTATATGTTGTTGCAGGGTACCAGTTTCTAGGCGTGACAAGAATAAGTCAGCGAAAAGTGGTCCCAAGGGGCTTCCCATTGCAACACCATCAACTTGACGGAATAAACGCCCGTCGAATTGGAATTGGACATTTTTAGTACATAAAAGTAGCAATTTCCTCAATTCCGACGTTGGAATGGGTATGTCTTCAGCTTCTTCACATATGAAGTCTATAGTCTCAATGACTGGCACATTTGTGAAGAGGGAGGTAACATCGAAAGAGACTAAATGTTTATCAGATACGTTGAAATCTTTGATTTGCTCGACAAACTGGAATGAATCAGAAACGATATACTTCCCGAAGCGTTTCCGCAGGGGCTCCAACATTTCACATAACCACTGTGCTAATTTGTGGTATGGTGAGTTTATTATAGAGAGTATGGGTCTTAATGGCGCTCCTGGTTTGTGTATTTTAACACGCCCGTATAGTTTTGGGATTTGTGACCCGATCGGCTTGATATTTCTATATGTGTTTTCATCAATGTATTTATTTTTGAATAGTTGGCGTAGCTGCTGTACAATTTTCTTTTCGATCGACAACGTTTGATCTTTTGCTTGATTCTCCCATTTGAATTTAGATTCATCGGAGAGAATTTGATGCATTTTTTCGAGATAATCTGTCTTATTCATTAGCACTACGCTTTGTCCTTTATCAGCTTGTAGAATAACAAGATTATTGTCTCTTCGGAGCTTGTTTAATGATCTCCAGTGTTCTTTGGTGATGTGAGACTTTTGATTCGTTGGCATGATTCGAAATTGGTGAGCAATATCAACCATTTTTGCTTTCAACCAGCTTTCGCTGTCGTTGGACGTGGCATGTAGCCCCATAAGTTGATCATAAAGATTTTCGAATTGACACTCGATATCAATTTGCTTTATGTTTTTCATGGGAACACAGAAGTTGAATCCCATTGACAGAATTTCCACTTGTTCTTTTGATAGGGAGACATCAGATAAATTGTGAACATAATTAGATATATCCACTGGGAAAATTTCATTTGGCGGTTCCGGATGAAGTGACTTTTTCAGTTTCTTTTCTTCTGATTCTTTTGCCTTTTTAGCAGTGGCATGCAGATATTTAGTGAATTTAAGATAACATACGAAATTTAAGTCATTTTGTACACTGATTAGTTTGCTTGATAATACGCATAAATTACTGATTTCATCTGTTTCAGAAGATATGATCAATACACCCTCTTCCTGGTCTAAAGCCTGCCTGGTTCTTTCATGTTTGTTTCTGTTGAGTACCGCTCAGTCTACGCATGATTATTGAACCTAGAATTTTAGATACTATATTTAGTCAAATTAATCCCCCTGGGATTGTCACAGGAAGACTTGTGTCCCTTCTTGTATATGGGGATAATCAGTGACTTACACCAACCCCACGGGACTTCCTCTGATTCGCAAACGCCGCCTAGTACCTTAGTTAACGCAGAGTGTAAACTGTCTGCGCAGTCCCTAAACACCTCTGGAGTCATTCCATTTGGTTATGTTGCTTTGCATCGTTTCAGATTAGAAACAGCTTTTGTATTATGTATTAGTGTGGTGCGGAATTACTTCTTGTAGCTGAAGATTTTGTAGCTTACTTTACAATGATAATGTTGGCTTATGGAGTTATCACAGGAGAAACAATACAGAACTAATGGGTCAGACATAATCTGTGTTGACCACATAATTTTAACATTGACTGGGTCGAAACAGACGGATGAACATATAATAATAATTACTTATTCCTTAGGTTTTACGTGGAACACAAGGCCTCAGAGGCACATCTTCACTGCGCTCAGTCCTCTGCTATCGCTTTGAACTAGCTGTTCGCATAATATTCTCTATTCCACCATCGGACACACACCCATTCAGACTGCACTCAATTATATAAGAATAAAACTTGTGCACTGTGGTAGAGTGTAATTCCACTACGGGTAAATTTTGTTTTGATAAAGTCTCACAGTGTTATACAGTAATGTTTACTGATGACGTTTCGAGCACAATTTATTGCTCATAATCATATCATATCACCCTGATATGATTATGAGCAATAAATTGTGCTCGAAACGTCATCAGCAAACATTACTGTATAACACTGTGAGACTTTATCAAAACAAAATTTACCCATAATGGAATTGCACTCAATTATCTCCTCAGCGTGTGTCAAATTTATCCATCTCCACTTTCTTCTGCATATTTGTTAGGTAATACATTGTAAGCTGGTTGGCCGGCAGAGTTCCTTGTTACTGATCCTTTCCGATCGGCCATCTTATCTTCACTATCGAAGCAGCGAAGACAGTTATTGATGAAGTTTCGCAGTAACGTATTGTAAATACTTTTAGTGACATGATTGTCCACTGTCTGACTTATATAGAAACACCCACTGGCTCGACATTAGTTCAAATACTTAAGATCTTGTTTCTTGTACTAAGTGCTGTTGATTTCCATATCAACGAGTGAAGTTTTAGATCCTTACGAAAAACCGTACAACATTTGAGGCCATCACAGTTATCAGCAATACAAGAGTATAATTCGAGTAATAATAACATATAAGTTGGATTTGCAAAAGGACATGAACCGTTGACTTTTGGTTTACTGACTGTGAAATGTGAATCTGATTTCAATCAACGTTGGTTTCATACAGGTGTAATTTGAATAGGTGATAAATCAACATTGCTTTAATACTACATTACATTGTCTTCCTAGCCAAGTATTCTCACGGGACAAAGGTAGAGGCGGAGAGGAATGGGACATGCGATTCATTCATCTTTATACCTACACACTGCAGTCATAGTGACTCTGTCCCAGACACTTCTGTGCTGAACGGTGTGGTGTGGGTTTAGTTCCCTAAAAGAGCTATTTTTGTATCATTTTATAATTTTTTCGTTGGGAGCGAATAAGCGAAAATATTTGTCTTATATATATATTTTTTTTTATTGAAAAAACCAACGGCAACAACAACATTAGGCAACTGGTCAAATGCTCGCAGAAATTGAAGATGCTGTTCTTGAGGAGGAAACTGAACGAGCCTGTTCATTGCCTAGAGAAGCTGAGATTTATGATCCAGCTGTTGGCAGTTTTGATGATTCATCGTCCAGTGATGATTCATCATTTGATAACAATCAGACTTCAATTCTTGATAAACAATCTGTACAATTGACGCAGATGCATAAATCACACAGTTCAAAGTGTAGAACTACTCAACTATCGAAAAATCCTATAGATTCTGATCGTAGAACACTATACTGGCAGGTAATTTGAACATATATACATGGGACGACAGTTCTTTTATTTTTACATTCTTTGTATATTTTGATACTGGTGATAATTTACATAAATTCATAGTACCCCACACAATTTTTACGCGTTTTGGGTTATTATTACCATTATTGCTATAATATATTGCGAATATCCAAACCATAGTTGTTGCGAGTTTCCTGGAATTATTATGTAGTAATTTTACTGTTATTATTATTCATTCGGTTAACTTACTTATGTATGTGTAGTTCAACTTATAGGTGGTAGGCTTTTCAGTGTTAATTACTCCGATAAACTATCTCATGTCTGAAATTCATTTG